TTCTACTAGTGATATTAACACAATTAATTGCGCATTGAGCTCTGATACTACTGGTGGGAATCAGACACGTGTGCGCAGCGGAAAACTAAAATTTTATATAAAAAATATTTTAACATATAAACACATGCACAATATAGCAATCAATGCGTACCTTATTGGTTCCATTGCAAAATTAATACATACATAAATATTATTAATTTGCTATTGATAAAACATGTAACATGCATGTAGTTTAAATCACAGATCATGCATTAAACAATTTCACAAAATTATTCAAGTAATTATCATACGAAAAATATCAATATATATAATTTATCATATTAATTAAATTACAAACGGATCCTATATTACCTCTTGAAGCGTGAGACAAACATTCGGATTCGAAGCAAATTGCCACGAAAACCAATTCGTGCAGTCGGGAGAAGCGGCGGCAGAGCGAAGACATGGGACGCGCGGGGCAGCGACGGCGCGTGCAACTCACGCGCTGTCTTCGGGCGGTGTGTGCGGGCGCGTGCTGCGGCGGGGTCGCGGCGATCTGACTCCTACATCTTCCTCCTCTCGAATTTCACCTCGTATACCAAATTCTACAATCATGGCACTAGACACGCAAAACTTAGAACAAACGTAATAAATAGACAAAGGAAGAAGCTACCGATTATGGTGGCGACGCGTGGGGCCAATAACCGGCGACAACAGCGGCGGATTGGCGGAGGGGGCAACTGCCGTGAGTGAGGAGAGCGGCTAAGGTTCTTCTCTTGTGTGCAAGACCTATAAATCTTGTATTTATAGTGTCTTGTGTACAAGCTCTAACAAGCTTAAGTTAGACCGGACCCAACAACTTAAGACCGTTACTCGTTTTTGCTCGTTTCTCACAAAGCAATGATCGAAAATTATAACAATTATATATTCGGAATCACTGAAACATCCTTGTCGGTACGAGTGCCAATTCTCGATTTTCGATTTCTAAAACTGGAAAACCCTAATTTAGTAAACCTGCTAAGTTGGGAAACTTCCCAATTTAGAAAGTTCACGAAGATCATCGCCTAGTTCTTTCATTTTCTTATTCTCATTCGTAATTCACAATTATGAATGTTGGACTCAATCGTATTGACTTCCAATCATGGAAATGTTAAATGTTTTTATCTTTGACCGTTTACTCAACAATAATAATAATAATAATAATAATAATAATAATAATAATAATAATAATAATAATAATAATAATAATAATAATAATAATAATAATAATAATAAAAGAAAAAAAAAAAAAAAAAAAAGTCGTCTCCTTGTTCAACACACGGCAAAAGACTAAAGCAGAAGACGACTTAAAACTAAAAAGACTTTGACTGATGAAACTGAATAAAAGCAGCAACAACTAACTCATAACAGCCATTTTTCACATAGACAGAAGTAAGCATGACAAATAATACTGGATTCACCCAACTGTTATTCCTTCTCCAATCCATCTTCTCTCTTCCATTTCTGTGTTTTTGCTTAGAAAGAAACACAATTTCATCAGGCATATATCTGAGAGATCCGGAAACCATAGTATCTCCTCAAAATGTGTTCAAACTAGGATTCTTCAGCCCCGACAACTCAACAAACCGTCGTTACTTGGGTGTCTTTTACACAGTCTCTGAAGAAACAGTGGTTTGGGTCGCCAACGGAGACAACCCCCTCATCAATGATTTTTCCAGCTCTTTAACCATATCCAAAGATGGCAACCTCGTACTAATGAATGGCATAAATCAAACTGTCTGGTCGACCAATATTTCTACAAAGACAACTGCTTCCATCGTTCAAATCCAGGACACCGGAAATCTTATTTTGCGTGATCTCGCAACAGGAAACCCAATATGGGAGTCCTTCTCACATCCTTCAAATGTTTTTTTGCCGACAATGAAGATTAGCGACAACATAAATACACACGAGAAGGTTGCCTTGTGGTCGTGGAAAAGTGACTCGGATCCTCAAGTAGGAAATTTCAGCTTCGGGATTGATGTTCGGAATGATATTGTACAAATGTTCATCTGGAATAATGGTCGTCCACACTGGAGAAGTGGGCCATGGGACGGGGATACTTTTACTGGGCAATTTTCATTGTCCACTTCTCCGTACCAGGAAGGATTCAGTATTGGGATGGATGATCGCACAGGTACCGTGTTCTTGACGACACCTGAGAGGAGATTCTTGAATATGCATGCCTTGAATTCTTCGGGAAACTTAATGCTAATGGTATGGGATGATCAGCGCAAGAATTGGAATACTTTCTGGATGCAACCTCACACTGAATGCAATGTTTACGGGCTTTGTGGGCCGTTTGCAACCGTCGGAAGCTGTAATAATGATTTCTATTTTTGTTCTTGCCTGAGAGGGTTTGAGCCCACAAATCGAGACGAATGGGGAAGAGGGAATTGGAGTAGTGGGTGCGAAAGGAGAATTCAATTGCAGTGTAACTACACCAGTAGTACTGATATTGGTGATAGATTTTTCAGGATGGAGTCTACGAATGTTCCGGACTCTGCTGTAAAGTTTTCCAATGCAAATGAAGATGTATGCAGGCAAAGATGTTTGGTAAATTGTTCTTGCATAGCTTATGCATATCCTCCTAAAATCGGATGTATGTTTTGGACTGACAGTTTGATCGACATTAGACATTACTCGTCGTCTCCTGGTTATGGCATTGATCTTTATATTCGTCTGTCGCCTTCTGAATTTGGTACGGTTGATCTCCTTTATCTTATACAATGTTTACTGTTGATGATTATGTGTTTTCCTTTACATGGCCTATTTAATATTTTTTCCAGATAACCACAAAGGCAAAAAGTTATTTATCATAATTCCAGTGGCTTTTATTTCGACGTGCATTTTCATCTTCACTGCTTGGTGGTGCATGAGGGTTGTTAAAAGAAAAGTTATGATGCTTTAATTAATTATAGCTGATGGATCGATAACTTAGACGTAGTAGCTAGTACATATATATATTCAACTCTTATTGATACTGCTTTGTCCGTATAATTTCCTTGATGCTAAATCAGGAATATTCATGAGAAGAAAAGACACAAAAAAGGGTTTTGAAACATTTTCATCAGATTCAACTTCAGTTGTACTCGAAGACGAATTGGAAAAAGTTAAATTAGCTGAAGAGTTTCCATTATTCACTTTCGAGACGCTTGCCAATGCAACAGACCAATTCCACGGAAACAATCTTCTTGGAAAGGGTGGTTTTGGTTATGTTTACGAGGTACGTACGATTGATCTAACTCCCATACGCTTAGATTGAATTATAAAAGATTTTATTTTATTTTTTAAATCGTAGTTTTTTTTTTTTTTTTTTAAATAATGGTAGGGAATTCTTGAAAATGGAAAAGAAATTGCAGTGAAGAGACTTTCAGCGGCTTCCGGGGCAAGGAATGGATGAATTCATGAATGAAGTGATGGTGATTTCAAAACTCCAGCACAGAAATCTCGTCAAATTGATAGGCTGTTGTGTAGAGAGAAAAGAGAAACTGCTAGTGTACGAACACATGCCGAATAAAAGCTTGGACCTTTGTCTCTTTGGTCAGATAAAAATTACATATCCAAACTTCTCTCTGTCTATAATTATATTTTCTGCAACAGAGTTTTTAATATAGCAATATAATTAATACTTGTAGATCCGTCTCAAACAAATTTAGATTGGACGAAACGTTTTAGTATCATCCAAGGGATTGCGCGAGGCCTCTTATATCTCCACAGGGACTCTAGACTGACGATAATTCACAGGGACCTCAAGCCGAGCAACGTATTGCTCGATCTAGATTGGAACCCCAAAATATCCGATTTTGGCCTTGCTAAAATATTTGGAGGTAATCAAGATCATGGAAATACTGCAAGAGTGGTTGGAACATAGTAAGTGATGAACTATATTTCCAGTTGAACCATTCATATATATATCATATATGTTATCCAGTAATCTGTGTGTCGTGCATGATATGTACGTGTGTGTGTGTGCACGCGCTAATTAAGATGATGAAGATCTTGCAGTGGATATATGGCACCCGAATATGCAGTGGAAGGTAGATTTTCTGAAAAATCGGATGTCTACAGCTTTGGGGTCATGATGTTAGAGATAATAAACGGAGAAAAGAACGCACGCTATTACAATTATGACAAGTCTTTGAGCCTTTTAGGATATGTAAGTTTGTTTTTATTTTTGCCCCCTTTTCTGTATTTTATTTTTATTAGCACATAAAACCCTCTATGTTACATTCGTTTTAGTTCAGTTCCTTTCGATCATGGTCGGTTTCATCCTAATATTATTATTACTGCACGAAATTTCAGGCATGGAAATTGTGGAGTGAAGAAAATGGGTTGGCTTTCGCGGAGGAAAGCATAGCTATGAGTCCAGATCTTCCGGCACAGATCATTAGATGCACTCACATAGCATTGTTATGTGTCCAGCAATTTCCTAAAGATAGACCTTCCACTCGAACTGTTCTCTCAATGCTTAGCCATGAAATCGTGGACCTTCCAATTCCCGAGCCACCGGTTTTTGCCGTCGGGCCGACTCAGCCTACATGCCAAGTCGGAAAAAACTCCACCAACAATGTCACTCTCACTTCAATTGACGGTCGATGATGATGTGGAATCTCAAACATAACATGGTATACATAAAAGTATATAATACAATGTAAAACTACAATACTTTTGAATCACGACCAATAAAGGCACTTCAACTTAAATTCGAGTTGGGACGTTATAAATTAGTGTTTATTGCATTCAGTTCACATGTGTTATATTGAATTAAATGTAAGCCGGAAATGCGCTGAGGCCATGTGAGAGTGATAATCCAAAAGTTTGTTCGCTTCTTGGTTTCCCAATAAATGGCAAAAGAGATACAAACAAGCATGGGTTGAACACCTACAAAAACTACGAGCACGACCGTGTAAACCTCCATACTCTTTGTTTAACCTAAAATATATTCATAATGACCCTTCTATACTTCTGCTGAAACGAGATGAAGAAAGACCGGTCATACAAATACAAAAGCATTCACATTCACATACACATATGCGGGCGTACTGTACAAAAGCATTTACATACGTAATTTGAGCACACGCACACAGACACACACACACACACAAATTTAAAATCGAATGTAATTGTGAGAAGAGAGACAGCTTTACACATTTGACACATATCTAACACATGTACGTAGTATCATCAGAATTCATAAGCCGGGAACCTAGCATTCTTGGGTTGAACCATGTCAAGGAAAAGATGAGTCATTCCACCCATACCTTCAAACAGAGAGAAGGGATTATCTCCGGAATGCAGCTCTCCCGTCGAAATAAGCATGTGGGTCCCATCAAGCAAAAAGCTCGCAAATGCTTTCGCTCTGTACAAATACTCCACTACTCCCGTCAGTCTGTATAGAGAGAGAAACACGTATGCATTTCCGCTGATCCCATGACACATCCCGATTCTTTTCAGAAGCCCTCGGTTCCACACAACCTCTGCTGCACCCATCGCACCTTCTAAAAACTCCTTATCTCCAAATACCTGAAACATTCCCCATTTTTTTTTTTTTTTTTTATTCGTTTTTTATGTATAATAAAAGAAAAATTAAAAGGTAAGAAAAATAGATGGATAATGACCATAGCAGCTTTGGTAAGGGTGAGAGCAATCCCAGGGGCTCCATGGCACCAGTGCACGAGAGCATCTCTCGTCTTATCTTCTTCACTAACCGGATAATTTCCACTTGGGAATTGATTTTTGATCATGTATTTAAGTGTTCCTTTAACATCTTCGATTTCATCGGAAGTTAAACGACACTCCATGAGAACATGCATTATCCCAGCCAATCCATGCGCTGCACCCCAATACCTCTCACCGTGCCATTCGTACATCAACGGGCTCCCTTCCTTTTTCCCTTGTTTTCTTCCTTTCTTGATAATTTCCTTCACAACAGCACTCTGACAATGATCGACAAATTCTTAAGTCATTAATAATTTTTATTTTAAAAAATTAGCCTTTTTTTTTTTTTTTTTTTTTTTTTTTTTTGCGTCTGGAAAACATAATGGCTAACCATTGAGGTTGAAGGAATTGTCTCGTTGCCGAAATGTTTGTTGAGAAATAGACAAGCCCATAGGTATCCAGCTCTACCATATAGCAACTCATCGGGGTGATCTTCTGACAGTCTTATCTGTTTCACATTAATTTAATTATTTCGATATAATTGCAGCATTAACTACAAAAATAGAAAAATTCAACGGGGATTTATATCACCTTTTTAAATTGGTTCAAATAGTAATGAACCAGCTTATCATCACCCATATGCTTTGCCACCACAGCTCCGATCGAACATACACCAGCTCTACCACACATAAAACTCACATCCCTGACATCACATAATATTTGTCATGCCTAAGTCACCGATACTTTAAATAATTTCGCCATCACAAATATCACCATTACATATTAGATAAAATATACTTCAAACAATGTGTATCATTTGCAGCCTGAAACATAACCGAAACCCAAACCAAAAGGTTAAACCGAAACCGAATTGATACCGAAACTGTAATTCGAAAACCGATTAGCACCGAACTGAAAAAAACCCGGCATGTTTGGTTTTTAAAATGGGAAAAACCGAAACTATCGGTACATCTTTGATTTTTTGCAAAAACCGATATGGCAATTTGTCTGATGCATTATTCCCTATCCATTTATAGATTATAAACTAGAAGTTATATAGAAATAGAAAAAACTATACGAAATGCCACAATAAAGCACTAAGGTAGAAAAAGAAACGAAAATACGAAGAAACACAAAAAAGACCTGGAATGAACGGAAGCGGAGTCACAAGCCTTGACAATCTCGGAGCTAAGAGTCAAGTCATTTTTGTTGTGGGTAACTTGATAAAATTTGAAGAGCAAAAACGCAGTGCCCAATGTACCGGAATACAGAGTAAAATCTTCGACGTGTTGCCCAGTAAATCCCCCCCAGGTCTTCACCACAATCTGTTCACAAAACAACACATCAAACGGAATATTATTCCATGATAAATCCGGTTAATTACACCACATGGTATCTTACCATACACATGCATACATTTACTATACACTTTGCTCATATCCACATGTATGTATAATGTATATATATATATATATATATATATATATATATATATATATATATATATATATATATGTGTGTTTTGTCATGTCAAAACAACCGGAAGACCGCTCGAAATTAAACAGCAGCAGATGAAAACAACCTTAACTAAGCACAATCTTCTATAAAAGATAACTGGGTTTTGATTATCGAACGAGTCACACCAAAGCCAAGAACACAGGAAAAAAAGACTTTTTTTGTTTTTCTTGTTTGCATCATTCGAAGTTAGAAAAAGGAAAGAAAGAATGGAGAAACGGAAAGGGGTACGTACCGTTTGTTTGAGGTCGAGGGCTGCGCGTTGGAATTTGAGAGAGATGGTGGTGTAGGGTTGAGAGAGGAGCCTAACAAGTGAATCTTGTGTTGCCTGAGGGTTAACTTCAACCCTACCATTTCTTGATCTAATTACTTCTTCTTCATCTGGGTTTTCTTGCACAAAGTCTGGCATCTCATTTTCGAAGAATCGGTCCGCCATTATATTGTTGTTGGGTTTTCTCTCTCGGAAAATAAATGGGCAGACTGCAGAGTAGAGGATAACATGAAGAAGAAGAAAACATGATGAGGGTTGACTTATCGATTACGGTGGTCAACGGAATAAAGGTAAGCGGTGGAGCTGAATAGATTTTGTGAGAGGTTTACACGTTGGCCTGCTCACTTGTCATCGTGGCCTTCCAATCATCCCGAGGACCCATTTCTAATTTAACGAACGGGTTATTAAATGCCTAGATTACCCTTCCCAAACCTGGGGACTCAAATGCAAGCATCTAAAAAACAAAACAATTATCATGTCCGAGGCGGTTAGGGAACGCCACACGATCAATCGGCGGCGGCGCTAGTTAATCGAAGATAAATCGAAAATAAATCAATTTTTAGATTTTCTTTAATATATTTCTAAATATTATTTGTAAATACTCAAAATATATATTAAAAAATATTTAAACATGATTTTACCCCTATCGCCGACGTCGAGTGCCCTCTGAGTCTAGAGGAGCCACGAATGTGCTTTGTTTTGGGTTAGTAAGTTTTGGCCATGTTTTTCTTTCTTACCAGTTGGCGACTTGGTTCCGTTTTGATTAAAAGAAATTGGGTTGAAATTTGGAAAAGATAAAGAAAAAGAAAATAAAGCCCTACCCTAGTTTCCTTTTAATTCAAAAAAAAAAAATATATTTTTCCGATTTATTGACCCGATATATCGGTTTGACCCACCTCAAACCGCCGTAAACCCTTAACCCGCCTCAAACCGCCGTAAACCGCCTCATCGTCCAAAAATCGACTTTCAAACAACCTCACTATTATTGTAAAGGTTTACGATCGCCACCGATATGGCGGCCGATATATCGGCCACCACAACCGATATTTAGAACTATGCTAAAATGACATAGCAATTTTTTTAACAGGACATCTTATATAGAAGAGGAAGATATTTTGACCTATAACCCTAGACCTAAACCTATGGACAATTTAGTCGTTTCTATTTTGATTTTTTTTTTCAAATGGTTTCCTCAATAAATAAATACATAAAAGAAAAAGTATACTAATTTCTTTACTTCCATAGTTATAAGTCGACAAAAAGAGGGAGAGAGATTTGCATACAATCCATTCTCCTCCGTTTTTAAACCGAGGCCATCTCTTTTGCTAACTCGAATCCATTCTCCCCCATCAACTTCTCCACATAATCGCCGACGATTAACCCAAACACCGTGACAATTTCGATTCTAAATGTTTGAGAATGTGGGGAATTCTCTATGACGTGTGATTCGAGTGATTCCATGGATAATTTGTTGAAGGTGAATCGTTTGGTGACGAATTTCGTGGAGAGGGGTTACTTGGGAGTGAAGTTTCTCCATAAGCCTTAATCAGTCACAACCATTATGTTATTATGATATTATTTCACCATTAATACGTATTTTTTTGGTGCTTTTTGGCTAATTGTTTGGGTAAATATATAATGCATTTACTAACGTATGCTTCATTTAGTGCTTTATTTTCTTGATCACAAATTCTTATTAGATTAAACCACAAATTCTTTAATTAATAATATGTTTGGATAAATATGTTTGAAAACTTCATTGTGATTTCTAATTACAATTAATTCAACCATACCAAAACTTATCTACATATTCAATTAGAGGTTAGTAGCAAAATTTGACAAATAATAAGGAAACGAAAAGTAATCAAATGTTGATGAAAAATGATATTCTATAAAAATCTTAAGGGTCTATTAGGTATAACCCCCTTAAAAACATTCAAATAATAGGGGTAGACCCAAACTTAAATTTGTCATTTTGATAAAAACCCAAACTTTTCTAAATTACATAATTACCCTCAATCAAATCCCACAAATCCCGTTACTTTACCTTTTGAAATAATATAAAATCTCTCCCTATTTTCCAGTTAAAACACTATCACCACAAACCCACTATCAAAAAAACTGCAAAACCTCCCAAAACCAGAAATTTGCACGGCCGTGGATCGGCGATTTTTCTGCACTCCGACCAAGCCTCCGTAGGTACGTCGTCGCCACTCGCTGAATCGCTATCATCCATCGATTTGTTGATATGTTTTGGCTAAATCGACTATCACGTTTGTGTAATTGCAGATCTGTTATAATCGCATACCGAATTCGAGCACTAAATCAATGATATTGCAACAATTGATGGGCAGGACATCCACCAGAAGTGATATCGTCGTTGGCCGCCGTCGCCGTCACTGCTCCAATCTAGGGTTACTCAAATCTAGGATTACTCAAATCTAAGATTTTGATAATTCTTCGGCCCATAGTTGATTAACGAGATGCATAGTCGAATTACATCTGTATTAATATACTATTCCATATCATTTAATAGACTATCCCACTGGTATAATTTTACTATGGATCTCGTTAATCGACTATGGGCCGAAGAATCATCAAAACCCTAGATTTGAGAAGTGACGGCGGCGGCGGATTTGTGTTTTAAAATTAATAGACTATCTCATATCTTTTAATAGACTATCCCATGTATCAAATTAGACTATGAGTTTAGTTAATTGACTATTGGAAAAATAATAATATATATGGAAACTGAATAATATGTTTGTTTGAAATACTAATCAATTAGGGTAATTTTCCTTATTATATGAAAACGATTAGGGTAAATAATAATATATATGAAAAAATAATAATATATATGGAAACTGAATAATATGTTTGTTTGAAATACTAATCAATTAGGGTAATTTTCCTTATATCATGTAATAGACTATCTTATTGATCTAATTCGACTATGGATCTCGTTAATCGACTATGGATCATGTATTGTTCAACCACATAGTATATTAATCATTTCAATATAGTACATTAATCTGCTATGATAGTATATTACGGTTATAGTAGTGATATGAAATTGTGTTACAAACAATATACCACTGAAATGACAAGAACATTGAGAACAACACCAACGTAAAGTATTCCAACATAACCAATAAAATAGTATATTAATAATCTCATAATTTCAATCTAGGGTTTTGATAAAATACATAAAACACATCATAACACAATCAAACCAATATGTCGAGTTAAAAAACACTAGTACATTAATAATCTCATAATAGTATAATAAAATGATAATGGTAGTATCATACGGTATTCATAATAGTATACTACTGTATTACAACGGTTTAACACTTAACCGAAGTTACCGAGCCATTACATCGTAAACACCTCTTTATAGCAACCAACCGACCAAACCTGAACAAAATCCGTACGAAATTCGCTATCGAAAAAACCTAAAATCATGAAACAAAATTAAAAATGCAGAATACTAAAAAATGATTAAATAGACTGCAAATACATTTGAATGATAATACATTAATATCCTCAAAAATAAACTTAAAATGCAAAATCCATACGCTAAATTAAAAAAAGACTACGAACTATATTTTAATGTACTATCCAGCACACTTAAATCGGCTGTTATAAACAAATAAACCAACTATCGATCGGGATCAAAAACATGAACTCGACCACAGCGGACAATTATTCCGATTATTGCATAAACCAACTACGAAGCTCATATAAAACAACTCTGGTCCGATCTGCGTGAACCATCCTCTTTTAACTATGTCAATCCTCTTCCAAACAAACATCATCCGCCAAAAATAACGATGTATATATGACGACGTAATTTTGTTAAAAAACGTTCTACTTAATAGAATCAAGTATCAACACAACTCTTAAAAATGTCTAACCACCGTACACGACAATCCTGTACATACAGCGAAAATAAAAGCGAAAAAAGAAGCATTCATACCCGCTTGACGGTGAAGAAATCTTCAAAGGCGATTAAAACGATGGAACGCTGGATAAATCTTCAAAAAAAAATTGTACACGATTTGATAGACACGATTTGATAGAACGGCCAATGATCTCACGTAAATTTATTCCGTGATTTTAGAATCACGTATCAGCAAATCTCATATCACGTAGTTAAGGAAATAAATGTCGTTCAAAAATAAAACAGGGGTATTAAAGGGAAATTATATAATATATTTTGCCAAATTAGCAAATTTGGGTGTATCTCAAAAATAGAAAATTAATTGAATCTACTTCATTAGAAAATATGAACAAGGGGGTTATCCCTAATAAACCAAAATCTTAATCTTATTACAATTTTTATTATCGTGTATATAAATGAAATTATTTCTCCATTTTGGAATGATGCCGTGCAACTCACGGGTGCAATCAGATAAATTAAGTAACTTTATAAATTTGGAACTCTAACTCTGCATGTTATTATGACAATTGATTATTGGGCAAAATATGCCAATGATAAGAGACTTAAATGCATATCCAGATAAAAAACAGTCTGGCAAATAAATCCATCTCCATGTTATTTGTCTAGAATACCCTCCATAATATAATTTTAATTAACTGTACTCTAACTTCATCAATATTGCATATTGAACCCGGATTTGAACAAATATATCACATTAACCCTTATTTTCATATTTTTTAAAAAAATATTTGATTTCTTCAGAAAAAAATTTCCGGCTAGATTCCGGCGTTAACCATTGACTATAGTTCACGAGTCCAGATATCTTGTATGTAGTTCATGATCAACTGAGTTAACATTTGTTTGCTCCAGACTCGATTCACTATATATGATTTTGATCTGCGTATTCTTTGATATTTGAAAGGCACCCTCTTTCATTTTTTTCTTCTAATATCAAAATTATTTGAAAGAGCAATTTATCGGCTTAGATGGCTTCTCAAGTGCTTAGAGCAAGTCCAAGGCAAGTAATCAAAATTGAAGCATCAACTGTCTATTTGGTATTTGCTACAGTGCTTTGGTACCTCATTAAAAAAAATTCTCTCCAACCATAATCATCAAATGAATAATCAAATTTAAAAAATAATATTTTTTCCTTCTGAAAATATGACGGTTGGTGGTGGTTGGGTGATGTTTAAATTTTGATATTTGAATTGGAAAGTGTGTATATTTACACCCCAAGTATATTTACACCCCAAGACTTGAATAATAAAAAAGATGCATATGTTTGATTACTGCGTTGGCAGTTATGCCATTTGATGCTTCATTTGGTTATGCAGTTGGACTTGCTCTTAGGAGTATCAAAATTATCTCCTGCTCCTCTATATTGTGAAATCAAGTAAGGTGCTATTCATATTAATCATGTCTGTCTTGGGCGGGCAACACACATCGAAGTTGATTGTCATTTTATTCATCTTCATATTGTTTAAATTGCTCTCAAGCTCTTCTCAGTTTCTCATAATTATAAAAAATGCATATTTAAAAAAAAAAAAAAAAAACTCATTACTAAATTATTTTATTTCTATTTTTAGCTAGTATAGGACTTCCTCAGCCAATCAAAATTTGTTAATTGAGATTTTTTATAGAATTTTTTTTAAGGAAATGAGAATGAAAATCATCTTCTATGGCAATATTTAAGTGTTATGTATTAGACATGTTAAGATTGGTGTTATTATTCATATTTTTAGTTAAAGGGTGTTAAACACCTTAGTTGACTAAGAGTGATGCTATTTCCACCTCCAAAGTATCTCAATTCACTATCAAAAATATATACAATGTCATAAATACCGTCAAATTTATAATCAACCATCATTCTTTATATTCACTTAATCCTCGTATGTTCTAATTTATTTATATTTCTATTTTTTTTTGAACTTTTTCTTTTAATTCATGCTCCTTTTGACCTTGGGAAATATTTTTCTCTAAATTATTCACTTAAGGTGGAGAGGCAGTAAAGATTCCAGTGAAAATGGTAGGATTTTTTTTATAAATATTTTAATGGGATCATTACAAATAAGCCCATCAATGGGTACTTATTCATAAAGAGATCTAGACAAAAAACTCATTTACAAATAAGTCCACACATGGTCCAGATTTTTGTAAAAGACTAAAATAGCCCCTCATACTTTAATATGCTCCAATTTCATCCCTAATTTAATTTAATCTCAATTTAACCCCAAATTCCACAAATTATTCAATTTTGACCCAAAACTTTTTTTTTTTTTCAAATTTTTTTTTGCCGCCGGATTCCGGCGTTGACTTTTCAAATTTTTTTTCCTTTCTGTAACATTTTTTTTTTCGTTTAAACAACAATATTGCTGTGACTGACAGTAATATTAACTATATTACTGTTAAACATAGTAAAATTAACTAAACTACAGTTTAACATAGTAATATTGCTATTTAATCTCTAGCACAGTAATATTAACACAACAAAACTCATTATTATTGTATATAGAGTAATATTACTATGTTGACCGTTCAAAAAATGTAAACATAATAAAAACCAAAGAATTAATATTACGGTGAGTAGGGGTGCAAGTTGGAACGGATTTTCCAATTTCCGCCGGTTCCGATTCGAAAAGTTCCTATTTTGGAACAACTTTTTTCATTCCGACTTCCGAAATTCCGATTTCTGAAATTTTTCGATTTTTTTGGATTGGAATTGAAATTATATAAAATCAATTTAGAATTTCCGATTTTCGATCCGATTTAATTCCGAAATTAATTTCGAAAAATTTAGATTTTTTTTGGAAAAATACACCTATAAATAGTATATATTATATAATACTTATTTTTCGAAAAATACACCTATAAGTTTTGTTTTAGAATTTTGACATGATGAATTGTTGTTAGAAGTTTTATTGGATATTATACTGTGTTTATTTTTATTTATTTTTTTGAACTGAAATTTAATAGTTATTAGTTTTACTTTTATCGACGTGGATGCTCTTATTTTCGAAAAATTATGAACATTTTAGAAACTTTCGGCTAAGTTTTGAAATTTTAAAGCTTATGTGATTTTCGATTTTTTTCCGAAATTTCCAGGCCTTTTGGAATTGGAATGAATTTTTAGATTCCAAAAATTTAGGAATTGGAATTGATTTTGTACTTCCGAAATTTTTTGGAAATTTTCCGAAAAGGTAAATTCCGATCCGATCCGTCCAACTTTCACCCCTAACTGTGAGTGACAGTAATATTACTATAACAACAGTAATATTACTGTCAACCACAGTAATATTACAATAATAGATAGTAATATTATTACTTTACTCCGTGAATAACTCAAACAAACAAAAATATCCAAAGAAAATAATAATATTGATGTGGTTGACAGCAATATTACTATAACAACAGTCACTACGCCAAAACACATTTCAGGCGACGTTTTTTTGCGACGAAAAAACCCCATTTGCGACGGAAAATGTAATATTGCGACGTTTATTTACCGGGAAAAAAGTCACAAAAGTGCCCGTCGCAAATATGTGCGACGTTTTTTCTTTAAAGTCGCAACCATTTGCGACGATTTAATATAACCGTCGCAATATTGTAATTTTTTCGTCTGCTGATTTATTGTGACGAATTTTTGAATACGTCGCAAATTTCGTCGCAATATTTTTGCGACTATATTTTCCGAAACGATTTCGTCGCAACTATTTTTAGCTTTGCGTCCTTTTTTTTTAATAAAGTCGCACAGTTTTGTTACGACATTACGACAGATATATAGCTATTGTCGCAATTTTTTTTTCTGCGATTGCGACTAATTTCCAAAAAAACGTCGCAAATATATAAATATTTTTATTTAATATTTTACTGATTTTTATTTTAATTGTTATTTTGACCTGTAATAATAAACAATTCCAATATAATTAAATACACAAAAACATTAAACAACCTGCTTAAATTAAATAATCCAAAACATTCTTCGAAAACATAAAATCGTCGAAACATTCCAAAACACAAAATCATCAAACACAAAATCATCCAAAAATTCTATCAAAACACAAGATAATCCAAATAAAAACTTAAATCATCCAAACATGAAATAAAAGTACCCAAAACACTAGTTGTCGTCGCCCGGTGGATTATGGGGATGGAACTCGACACCTTGAGCCCTAAAATATTCGACCATGGCTTTCATAGTACTCTGCATTTGATTCATCTCGTCCTTTAAAGTCTGATTGTCTTCTTTCAAAGCCGCTATTTCTTCATCTCTAGCAACAGAAGATAAGTTGGACCTCGTCCCTTTCTTTGAACTTGAGCAACCAAGTCCTAGTCTTTTAGTTTTTCCTAGTACTCGTTCGCAAGCTATCGTGTTAGCGGTGCTTTCATCACTCCCATCATTCATACATTCTTGATAGACTCTTTCCAAATCCGCCTGAGTAATATAAAAAAGTGTATTAACACTAATTACTTGATACGAACTATAAAATAAAATAATAATTCAAATAAAAATATACCAACTAATTTGCTCAACCCAAACATTTTCAAGTAAACAAAAACACAATAATTCATATATAAAGATCGACTTCATTAAGCAACCAACATATTCTCAACTAGGAAATAAAATAACAATTCAACAAAAATAAGCTTCAACTTCATTAGAGAACCCAATATACACAATTGCTCTATTCACGTAAAGATCCACCAACTACATTACACAATTCATCGATACCTAAGTACGAAATAAATCCATAGTCCATCAACTACAATACAACCCAAACATGTTCAAAATAGCAAATAAAGCATCAATACAACTAAAATATTAACTTACCGCAATGGCACGTAGTTCGGGCTTTCCTCTCGGATCTACTTGTCGCTCACCATCACCTCCACCAATCTCACTATCACTACCATCAACAGGTAAAGGCTCCGATTCCTTTAATGCATCGATGCTCATGTAGCCTTTTCTGAATTTAGCTGCCACGGTAGGAACCTTGCCAAATTTCTGAACCTGTATAAATAATATAAAAGTAATTACACCTTATAATAAATCTTAAAATATATACAATCACACATATAAAAGACCACTTACATGTTTGTGAGACCAACCGGTGATACTAGTTCGACCCCAATGGTGTTCAGTTGCAATTGACTTTCGTGCTTCGCGACATTTTTGAGAGCAAAGTTGAGAAATTCTAAACAACCATTTTGAAATGCGTCTAATCGATGATCATCTAGCAAAACCCAACTCCTATCCTTCGGCATTTTAATTTAGAAAATATTCGCAACTGAGGAACATAGAAGGTAACGAGAGAGTTAAATTTATATATTCGTCTCTCTCGGAATAATTTAATTTCGGAGTATATATATAGTAGGGAAAAAATATTTTGAAAATAATATTGTGATCTCTTTTAAGTGTAAGTTTGGTATCTTATGGGACCCATTTTTTAAACTACGATTTCGAAAGAAAGAGATCTTAGATCAGATGTGATGTTTAGGGGAATAATGTGTACATAATTTAACAAAGCGCATATATATAAAATAATTTAACAAAGATTTTATATACATAAAATAATTTAACTTACCCTCTACAAATTGGTGCAGTGGCTTGTTCAAATCCTTGGGATTTATGAAGTCTGTGATCCCAATTGCTTTACCTATTAAAACAAAATTTTATAATTTATTGATTATTAATTACTCCAAGTGAATGAATATACTATAGTACAATAAATTAAATGGCGAGTTTATTTATTTATTAATTTAATTTGATACCTTTAATAATTTTATCGGGATTAATGTCAACTCCAATAATTCTTGATGCTCCTCTCGTTCTTGCCCCTTCAGCCACCTTCACATTAATTCAATGAAATTGCAGCTGTCAACATTATTTCGATTTTTTTTAAAGAAATAATTTTTCTTTTGTTTTCTAATAATAATAATTCATGAATCATTGATAATAAAATATATAAAAATATATAAAATATAATTATGCAGAATAAATAAAAAACTTACGGTAAGTCCCACGGCTCCGACGGCGGGAGCGGGAGCGGCAGCGGCGGTGTGAAACAGGGAGGAGGAGCGGGAGAAGAAGGCTTCGGTGGTGGCTCGGCCTTAGTAACCGGTGATGTCGTCGGCACGATGGGGGTGGATTTCTGTGGAGAATATTGAAGCGGCGGCGGCGGCGGTGTGGAAGACGGAGGAGGAGCTGAGATAGAGGGATTTTGGCGGTGGCTATCACAAGGCCTTATGCCGTCAGCCGCGACACCGACGGCGACGGCGACGGCGGACTGATTTGCTTCGGCGGAGGAGGGGTGTGGGAGCAGCTGTGATTTGGGAAGAGACGGACTTGGGCAAACGTGTTCTGAAATTAGGGTGGGGAAAGGGGTTTTAATTTGGTTTCGCGACGTTTATACTTATTAGTCGCAGGACCGAAAATTTTCGTGCGACGTTTTCCTATATTTTAGTCGCCACAACAGACTTATGGAAATAAAATAGCGACTTTACTTAATTAAACGTCGCAACAGAAAAATTGTGAAAAAAAAAAACTATTTATGTTGCGACGTTTCAATCCATTGCATTATTTACGTCGCAAAACAAATCTAGAAATTTTTAATTGGAAAACCATTGCGACGTAATAATATATAAACGTCGCAAATTTCCCAATCACCTTGCGTCGTTTCAACATTATCGTCGCAAATATTATTAATTAAAAAAAATAAAAAATAGTTTTTTCTTTTGCGACGAATATTTATACTAACGTCGCAAAATTGCGACGTATATAACCGATTCGTCGCCTTTTCTTCAGGGAACTTTCCGTTTAAAAGTTTGCGACGATTTCTGCGACGTAATTTAGAAACGTCGCAATATTTACTCATTTTTTAGAATTTGAATTTAAATTATGCATTATTGCGACGATATGTTAAGTAAACGTCGCAATTTGAGCGACGTTTACAAAATCGTCGCAAATAAAACGTCGCCTGAAATGAAATTTGGCCTAGTGAGTAATATTACCGTTAACCACAATAATATTATTTTGTTTAAAGTAATATTACAATAATAATTATTAATATTATTACGTTACTCTGTGAATAACTCAAACAAAACAAAAAACCCAAAAAAATAATAATATTGATGTTGTTGACAGTAATATTATTGTGTTTACAGTTATTTTACTGTCAACGACAGTAATATAATTACGTTGACTTGTCAACAAATCAAACAAAATAAAAAAAATAACAAAAAATAAAAAATAATAATATTACGTTAATTTACTGTGAACGGCAGAACAATTAAATAAATGTATTGTCAACGGCAGTACAATTACGTTAATTAACTGTCATTGACAGTATAATTACGTTAATTTACTGTCAGTGACAGCACACTTACGGTCAATGTTTAGCGGCGAACGTAAAAAAAACAAAAAAAAAAAACTTAAAAAAACACTAAAAAAAGTCAACGCCGGAATCCGGCGGCGGAAAAAAGTAGACCGAAAAAAAAAAATCAACGCCGGAAACCGGTGGCAAAAAAGTTTTTTTTGAATAAAAAAGTCAAAATTGATTAAATTGGGGTTACAATTAAGAATTGGGTATAAAGGGTTGAGGGTAATATTGTCATATACATGAATATTTCCTTTATTTATAATAAATATTAAAGGGATGAGCTTATTGGTGAAAGAGATATAACCCCTAAACCCTAGAATAATAAAGATGTTTGGTTGGGGACTTATGCACAAAAACCCCTATTTTAATTAGTTTGTAAATTTGTAAAAAATATAGATAAAAATAGAAAAAAGGGTAAAATGAAAAATATATTTAATTTGGTGGTGAAATAAGATATTTTAAGGGTGAAAATAGCACGTCTCTTAATGCATTTGAATTGCTATTTTATGTTTATGCATCAAAGAGGTAAACCTTTTTATTTTGGGTAAATTACAAGGGGTAAAATGTAATTATAAAAAGTTTCTTCTTTTTGAGAAATTACATCTAGCTCCCTACAGTTTGTAAATTTCTTATATCCACCTCCCTACAAAAGGGTGTTAATGTAAGAAATCTATAAACTGCAGGATATGGAAAAATGAGGGTTTATTTTGTTTGTAAATAGACCTTACGTCGAGGCGGTGGTTGTAATTTACGCTTCTTTTTATACATATGTTTGTTGTTTCCATTTTTTCTCTATTGTTATATTAAAATTTCTGAATTTGCCATTAATTATGTTTTGACTTGTATATTGTTACATATTTATGCTTTGTAAAACTAAAAAAATGACAATAAAACAACTTGTCAAAATAACATTATTCCCAATAGTTGAAGGTGGGAAATGAAAATTAGTATGGAGAGGAAAATGAATCACTAAACACCCGGTTGAATTATTCAAGATTGTCAATAATCTTCTACATTCCCAACTTGGAAGCAAAGCGCAAATCTCACCATTAAAAACTGTAGGTGATATAATAATGACAAAAGGTACAATATAATATGCAAAAGGTACTCCCCTTCACGAAACCATAAACCAATTACGACCGCACCTGATAAAAACTCATTCCTCCTATTTCACCATCATCAAATCAAAACCAAAAAAAGAAAAAAAGCAAAGCTGAAATGCACCACTTTCTTCTCCAAGTTTCATCACCCTGATCGATCTGATCACCCCACACACACACAAACACACAGTTATACACACATATACATACAAAAAAAAAAAAGAGAGAGAGTGTGTCTGGATATAAATAATAATGGAGGGGTTTGACGAGGGCATATACATGGGAACAACCGAGGTCGGAGAAGAGATCAATCCACATGACGACGCCATGCACTACGGCTTCGATGGCGGCAGCGGCGTCGCGCCGCCGCCAATTGACGGATTCTATGGAAGCCCCATCAACGACAACATCAACAACAACAACAACAACAGCATGCAGTCCCCAAAGGGATACGGCTTCGTCGGCTCCCCCCAGGCTTATTCACCCTCTCCATTCGTCGGCGGCGGCGGCGGGGGGGATGAATACGCGAAGCCATACGACGCCGCAGCTGACAATGAAGGGATTTTCACATCTCCAGACGGTGGGCCTCTGCTTCCTGATCCCAGCCAGATGCGTGAAGAAGGCACTGCTTTTCGCGAATGGCGTCGGTGAGATTATTAATGGAATGATTAATCTTTTTTAGATATTAATTTGAATTGCATTTGCGTTTGGAATCAGAGTTGTTAATGCTGGGATTAGATTTTGGATTAGTGTTAATTTAGTGTTAGTTTTTATGCAAATGGATCTAATTTAATATAATGAAGAAGATGGTTAAGTTATTTTAATTCATGCATGTTATTATAATTTAATCTTCTCTACAAATTTATTGTGTATAAAATAATTACATATTAGCAAATACACTCACAAAAGTGGCATTTCTGAACTTCTGAGCAAATTTAAGCCTCTGTTTTTATGTAAAAAAAAGGTTGCTATTTGCTAATACTAGATTGAGAATGCTGTTTCGAGACGACCGTTGGGCGAATTGTGAGATAATATCTTTTCTTTTAGGAAGTTAGAACACATGCAATGCATAATTAGAAAAGAAGCGAACTCGAATTTGAATATAGTTTTCCTTTTTCAACAATTTGTTTTATGTTTTGTATTTATTGCCTTAGTTGATGGAACTGTGTAAATATTAGTGGTTGCTCTAATAGTAGCATATATTTATCATGGATTTTGCATATGAATTAATGTGCTCTTAGTTTTGGTATATAAGCTCTATTAATCGCTATTACAGTTTTACATAAATTTGTGTTCTTCATAGTCATACTAATTGTGTAGATGCAATCATTTGTGGTTTACAAGAGAGCTTCATTCTGAATTTCCGTTTTTGCTGCTTTACGATCCTTGCATGCATGCTCATGGTTCCGTTAAAACTACTTTTTCATATGTACCTCTTTCTCAATTCACTTACTCGTCGGTCGCTTCAATTATGAGGTTGCATATATACCCTTGAGAATCTAAGATAACCAGTTGGCTTTAATGTAGTCAAAATGCAATTTATCTAGAGGAGAAAGAGAAGAAGGAAAAGGAGCTAAGGAATCAGATAATTGCCGAAGCTGACGAGTACAAACGCCAATTTTACGAAAAGAGGACTCAGACTTGCGAGACTAACAAGGCTCAGAACAGGGAAAGGGAGAAAGTACAGACACTCCAATTACATCTAACTACTACATATTTGCTACTAATTAAAATTGCATGATATTTATATATTTGTTTTTTTCTTTGTTAAGCTTTACCATGCGAACCAAGAGAAGTTCCATAAGGAAGCCGACAAACAGTTCTGGAAAGCAATAGCAGAGATCATACCTCGCGAAGTTCCAAATATAGAGAAGAGAAGAGCGAAAAAAGAAGAAGATAGAAAAGCTTCGGTGTTTGTTATTCAAGGACCAAAGCCCGGAAAGCCAACTGATATGACACGAATGCGTCAAGTCCTTTTGAAGCTTAAGACGACCCCTCCTCTTCATATGATTCCACCCCCACCCCCACCGGAAAAAGACGATAAGAACCCTAAGGATGGGAATAATTCCAAGGAAGGGAAGGATGCTAAGAATGAGAAAGCGGCTACGCCTAAAGCATCCGAAGAGGGCAAAGATGGAAAAGATGGAAAAGATGTGAAGGAAGCTACACCGAAGGCAGCCCCTGCCGCGGGAGAAAAGGGAGAAAAGGCTGTTTCACCTTCTAAAGATGCAGCGAAAAGTGTTACTCCTAAAACACCCAAAACCGACGAGTCGTCTGTTACTACTGAAGGCAAACAAAATCCGGAGACGGAGTCCTCCACCGTTGCTTGATTATTGAATCTTTAGATTTTTTAAATTAATTGTTATTTGTTTTGATATAGTAATCATTTATCTCTCCTATCTCTAGCAAAAGCAATAAGTGCAATTTTTTTTTTTTTTTATATAAATTTAAGCTATGTATAAGGGGCTTCACTTGCCTATTCCCTAACTAGTTTCTATTTTTTTTTTTACTCTGAAATTTATTTTCATGTTCAGCTATAATCTATTGTTAGTTTCTCATAGTATCTTGCTTCCTCAATGTATCAAAACTAAATTCCTTTGGCAAGAAAATCATAATTCTAACAACTCCATGTATCTGCAATGTTTCTTTGCTAGTAAGTGCGCTGGTTTACCTTCAAATGGTGAACTATATTATGTGAGAGCTCTTCCATTTGAAGCAAACAATTTCAAAGGCACGTTTGGTTGACAAGATGCGATTAGTCTAGATAAGATAATTTTCACTATATATAAATTAATTAGGCCTATTATTTTATCCTTTTATTTTTTTTCTTTTAATCAAGAAAACGGTGTCATTATATACAATATTGGAAAAAAAAATATAAATAATTATAGTTTTTGATCGGTATACTTTGCGACTTATTCGATTTCCGTACCAAAATAAGATGAAGTTACAAATTGCGTGCCTAAACATGCCACTTTTATGGTCACTCCGTCCATTTGTCTAGTTAATATGGACGGAAAATAGCACGTGCGAAGTACGTGACACACAAAAGTTACCCTCCTTAATGAAGTTCAGATCGTGCCTTGAATAAAAACAGAACTTGCCATAATTCTCTCTTGAAATCCATAAACCCCCTTTTCAAATCCCTAAATTTCTTCTATATCCCACCTAGGGGTGGAAATCGGACGGAATGGATCGGAAATGCCTTTTTCGGAAATTTTCCAATTTTTTTCGGAAGTTAGAAATAGGTTCCAATTTCCGTTCCAATAAAATCGGAATTTCAAAATCCATTCCAATTTCGGAATACCTCTGAATCGGCGGAATTTCGGAATTTTCGGAAATTGCATTAAGTCTTAATTTTTTGTTCCGAAATCGGAAATAATGGTAATTTTTAGTATTTTTTTTAATATTTTCGTAATTTTTTGGCAAAAGGCAAGAATCCAAAGCAAAGGTCAATAAGATGAAATGTAAACACTTGTTAAAACAACATAATCGGTTTTTCAAAGCAACCATAGTTCTTGCAAATTTTTAAAAAAAAAAAAAAAAAGAAAAAGTAAACATAGTTCTTGCAAAACATGAATAGAAAAACAATTCAAAAATATAATATATATATATATATATATATATATATATATATATATATATTTCGGAAGTACAATCGGATCGGAAATCGGAATTTCCAATAATTTTATATGTAATTCCAATTCCGTTCCAAAAATAATCGGAAAAATCGGAAATCGGAATATCGGAAATCGGAATGAAAAAAAGTGTTCCAAATTCGGATATTTTCGGATCGGAATTGGCGGAATTCGGAAATTCCGTTCCAATTTCCACCCCTAATCCCACCTCATTGAACTCCTAAAATTGCCTACCTTCCGGAAGTGAAAAGTGTTTAAGATCACTAATTTCTTCATAGTGTATGATTTCTGGGGTACATAACTACAAAGTTGTGACAAATAATATGGTTCTACATTTGAGGAGAACAAAAATGTCGAGAAGAACTTCACTGGGGATTGATTCATTACGAATAAGGGCGATTTTCTTTTGTTTTAAATCATGCTACTTTTGTTTGAGAATTTGTTTATCCGGCCTTGATTAATTACTAATTGTATTTTATGTTTGTTTTTGTATTTTTTTTAAACCTCTAAGTAATAACTGAATATAACTTTTGCTGGGGAATTAACTTGCTTTAGGATTAAATTAAGACACAGTGGAATTATGAAGCACTCGTTTTGAATATTTTGATTTTGTCGATAAATATAAAATTAGGATGTTTGATCTTTGGGTTTTGCTGAGGAGTTGGAGTACATTAAAAAATGCATTCTTAGGTTTTGTCTTAATCATGGAAGTTTTTTTTGATAAATATTGTAGGTGCATCAAGACTGATAGTAACGTGTTTAACGTAAGGAATATACATTAAACTGACCCGAAAGATGATGATTAAACTGTTTGAACAAAATGTAGCTCACACGGCTGAGTTTGGGGGGCTGAGTAAGGGTAAGTTTGTTGTAAGTGATGCTTTCATTATCCTCTTTTATGTTTTTGTGTACTCTATTTTTATGAACTTGTACTTTGGAATGTGTTGTGCTTTCAAAACTTCTACTTATTTTGATGTACTTTAAATCTGTGTTTGAATTATGCTTGTACTTTGAATGATACATGTTTGTATTTTGGAATCAAATTTAAAGTCCATTTTGTTTTTTTTTTATTTCTTTCTTTAAATAATATTTGTATTTTGAAATCAAGTTTCAACTCTAGTTTTTACTTCTTTCTTTTAATGACGTGTCTTTGTTAACATGTGTCCCAAGTTGAATTGAAACTGAAACTTGCATGTAATTAAAGGGGCTTAATAGATACATTATAGGTTTTGATTGGTTGCAGCGTAATTTCCAATATAATTTCAAAAACTCCTTCAATTTAATAAAATATCTCCTTTCCAATATCGCAAATTGTTACGTTTTTTGGATTTTATCACATAGAAAGCGACAATAAACAAAATTAATGACAATTATCCCAATTTTTAGGTCAATTTTTTTTTTTCTGAAATCAATTTTTTGTTATTTCCGTATTGGTTAACATGGAATTTCTATCTACGATTCCATGATACAAAACATAGAATTAAAAAAAGAAAAAGAAAACCGATTATGTGCAAACCAACACGGATTGGGTTGAATCAGTTTCGTGTAGGACAACATGGAGCCATCCGGTCCGTGTAAAGAAACGGTCGCTTTGGACACGTTAGGATTAACTCACTACAGTCAATTCTTCGATTTTATACATGTGTTCGATAATAGAGAGGCATTCATTCATTTTCCTTGATGTTAAACTATGTGCACTCCTCCTGCTTAGGCATATATATCATCAACTACATGGTCCAAATGAAATCTCAAAAAACACAAACCTTGAAAGTCGTAGAACTTGTTATCGCATACTAATTGTTAAGTGTATATTTTTACACTTTATCGTATCTTTTTATTTGAGCTTTTTGTGTGAATTTACGATAATTGGTGCTTAAAAAGTTGATTTATTGTATTCTAGGTACAAATTGAAGAATTGGAAAAGTTTGGGGTCAAAACTGCAAATTTGGAGAAAATATGGGCCAAAACTGAAATAATCAAAATATGCTGAAAATTGGCTGAAAACAGGCCCGCACGGCCGTGCCAAAATTAGCCTATTTTTGGCACGGCCGTGCCAAATGCTGAATTTGGGCAGAAGGTTTTGGCGATTCTCGCGCGGCCGTGCGAGAATTGCACTAATTTTCGCGCGGCCGTGCCAAATCACGCTGGAGACAATTTTGGACTTTTAAACACATAAGGAAACCTAGAATCATCTACCAAGTTGGAACATCTATTTAAGCCCAAACCAAGCACGAATCAAAGGACTTTTGAACACAACCCTTGAGCGAGAGGAGCGAGAGAACGAAGAATCGAAGACGGAGAATTGACAACTCTTCATCACAATTCTTCTTTTATCTATCTTTTCTTAATCTATTCTTTTTATGTTTTTATTATGTTTTTCGTAGAGAACATGCGTGGCTAAGTTTTTAATCTAGGATTTTGTTGGAACCCTATGTAGGGATTGCGAACCCTTTTTCTTGAGATTATGCAATTATGATTTTATGATTATTTCTTCTATTTGTTATGATTGTTAGTGCATGAACTTGATCAATTTATGTGCTTTATCTGTGATTATTGGGATTGACTCGACAGAGCTATTTTGATAATTAGACGGTAAGTAAAAGAGCCTTCGAGTAGTTTTCACCGGATGAGTGTGTCAATTGCATGTGGTGTCGTAGACATACAGATATCACCTTAGGTAGCCATTTACGAGACTTGTTAGTTAATGCTTTATTTATAATTGGTTTGCATAGACATATAGTGAATCGTTTATGAATAATAGACTCATAATACACGCGACAGCGGGTTATGAGTAAATTAGTGTCTCGGGTTAATAATCATGAATCATAGATTTCATAATTGAGGGAATTTGGGTGAGCAATTCTTGCGTAGGGGGAAGATAAAATCCTAGGTCTGTTTTAATTGATATTTTCCCGTGTTATTTGCTTTCTTAATTAGTTTAGTTGTTTGATTGATTTAATTTGACAAACTTGCGTAGGCTGGATAAAAATCATAATTGTTAGAATTTGGTACTTAGGATTAGGTAATTTGCGTATTCCCTGTGGGATCGACATCCGACTCTCACGAGTCCACTTTATTACTTGTTTGCGATACGTGCACTTGCGTGTTGGTATTTAGCACCCAACAAGTTTTTGGCGCCGTTGCCGGGGAATACGGCTAAATTATCTATTTATCCTAATATTAAATTTGAGCAATTTTTCTTACTTCAGCCGTTTTATTTATTTTATTTAATTATTTTCTTTGCTTATTTTATTTTTATTATTTTTGTTTAGGTACTTTTTATGCCAATGGAAGAAGAGAATAATCGTAGGGGAGATGACCAAGGGCGCCTACCGAATGCGGCAGGAAATATCGTCAACGAGCAAGAACAACTTCTGCTAATTAATCCACCACCTCGTCAACGAGCATTGCATGAGTACACCGTTCCAACACTCAATGGGTTTCAATCGAGCATCCAGCAGCCCCCCATTGAAGCCAACAATTTCGAAATTCGAGCGGGACTCCTTACTATGCTCCAAAACAATGGGTTATTCAGCGGATTAGCTCATGAAGATCCGCATCTCCACTTGGTCAACTTCCTCGAAACATGTGATTCGCACAAGATGAACGGAGTATCACCCGAAGCACTGCAACTCCGCCTGTTCAAGCACTCTTTACAAGGGGCAGCCCGAGAATGGTTACAAACTCGTGCACCGCACTCCATCTCATCTTGGCCCCAACTAGCACAACTCTTCATGAACACATACAACTC